GGAGAATGTTCCTTGTCCAAGTACAACTTAAGCATTTCAAATTCAGCCTTGAGTTACTGTGATTCTTACGTACGGGCACTTAAAAGTTTTGGAGGAAAAATTTCTCACAGAACAGCTAGGTTACTTTTAAAGAATGGAAATTGCACATTTACTTTATGCAACATTTATGGTAATTTATGCTAGTGACCGCAAAAAACAGGTGTGAAGCAGCGACCGTTCACGTACTTAATGACCTGAGTACTTTAAGTCTGGTACAAAAAACACATGACCGCACGGGCCGGCCCGGTGCGTTCCAGCCTGGGTTAGACTCATATGAAGCTTTGCTGGTTGAGTAGTGTTTAAAGAGAATCCTTGGCTTGATTCAAAGAAAGTCAGCAAAGAGTGTTGGTATTTTGCAAATGTTGCAAAGTAAATTTTCAGCTGATGTCATTTTAATCAAGAAAATTTTTTACTTTATGGATGAATTTTGTGATTTTTTCCTGCTCGCAAGTGTATTGCTGTTACTGTTTTCGTATTTTTTACTTTATTTACTTTTATCTACAGCTACTTATTCGTAAACCAGAGCTCTGAAATTATTGCATAAAAGCTGTTCTACCGTAGGGTAACTTGGTCAGATTGGTCATATTAAGTCAAGAGCTCGCCTGGCTAAACAATTTTTGTTTTTCGATTTCCTCCCCTTCTCAGGCTTTTTGTTCAAATATGTGAATATTTTATGGTGCGTGAGGAAGCTTCACTGTTCTCTTTTTTGCTGGCTGAGTTACGGCCAGATTCGAATTTGAAACAATAAGCAAGCAACAGTACAATTTTTCTATAATAAATATTTGCGTTTTTGCAATCCTTACGCTCCAATGAGTACTTAAATGTTGCTTTGAACTGACGAAATACGATTATAGGCGTTTATTGCCTGAATCACTTTTTGTCGTACCTATCAGAAGTGCGCTGCATGTGCATCTGTGTACATCACTGACGACCTAGCATTAGACTAAATTCAGGTTTTAACAGAAAACTTTAATCAACTGCTATTTAAAATAGGCAGCGGTTTGCATCATGCATCCAACTTGATATGATTTTTGCAGCAAGCTCTTACAGGAATAGTTGGTTAGTGTACTTATACAGGATGAATCAAAATTTTGACAGGATTGATTCGTTTTTGAGTTTTAATGTTAGCTGATATTCGACTATGCGGCCACAATTTACGAAGCAGCGATTTTTACTGTATTCATTACTACAATTTCACCTAATTTGGTCTTTCATAACCATAGCACTCAGATTTTCAAGCGCAGCGCGTTTTAAAGTTGTTCAGCCAGTCTAAATTTTGGCCTGAGATTGTGAGTTTCACTGCAGCAAGATTTGGAATCTCATTCTTGCTTATTTGCCCACGGTTAATTAGGGAATTATTCTGTCAAAATTTAAATTCTTATATTCTCGGACTTCTAAAATTGCAAAATTGTGCTGCCACAAACGCAATGGAGCTTGCCATTTGGCTTCTAGGCCTGAATTCTGAATAAGTTAGTAACCCAAAATTTTTATGAAAGTATCGATTTCTGGTTCGTGAGTTAAAATTTTTTTTTTTTCGAATCGGAACCCGAAATCATACACCAGAACACTAAGGCTTGTCAGGTTCAGGAATTATTGCAAAATCTCGGGGGCTCATTTATTTAAATGCATACATACATACATACATGCATACATACATACATACATATACATACATACATACATACATACATACATACATACATACATACATACATACATACATACATACATAAACACATACATACATACATACATACATACATACATACATACATACATACATACATACATGCGTGCATACATACATACATGCGTGCATACATACATACATATACGGACGTACTTATGCATGCAGGCATAATTACAAGTACATTTGCAGATTCACGCATGTTTCCATAATGTGCTTTCATTTGCATAAATGCAAATGCGCCTTGTTGAAAGTGTTGTAGTAGCATTTAAATCCAACTGAATGCAGCTACTGGTCGGAAAAGTGAAAGGCCAAGCTTTACTGAGAATAGCGGGCAGTTCTGACAGCACTGCCGCATTTTGCGTAACTGAGTGGGCGGCGACGCATAGCATTTTATTAAAATTTATTGTCCCTAGCTTGCACCTGCTCATCCGCGGTTCGGTGGTTGCGTGGTCTCTACTCCGCACGCTTCTCTTCGCTGCAGGTGAGAAAATTATCACCGACCACATCCTTCCTTTTTGCTGATAGGCGTTGCGTCTGTACGGTGATTGGGAAGTAGTAACAGGCGACTGTCTTTTTGGAAGGTATAAGTCAGTTCCCGTCAGAACTACCAAAAGCACTGTATTTTTTCTCTGCGGTTTTTCTTTTGCCTTTTTCCACTAACAGATATGGTACAGTGGCAGGTAGTGCTGGTTCTAATGCGGGAAGTTCAGAGTTCCACTTTGCCAGTAGGATGACCAGTCCTTCAACGAT